GCTGGATTTCACGCAGTTGAGTGACAAGGCATGGAAACTACCCCGCCACCTCGACGCAGCTGTGGCTACAAAGCAGCGAGCTGCAAAAGTCTCCGTCGAAGCTACTGCTGCTCACCTCCTCCGTATGTCTAAAACACCGACAGAAAACGTCACCTACTGCAGAAAGAATAATTTTAACATTGGTACCTGCGATGAAAGAGCCTTCTGTCTGCATCGTCTACTCTATAAACGTGACACTGGTGGCCATGAAAAACATGAAGGCTGCCTATGTTGATAGAATTTTCACGGAATTTCCTAAGAATGCAGTCCAAATAGCCAACAGTGGCTTGCTTCTCTTTCCACGGCAATACAACCCGAAAAATTCCGTCCGCCTAGCGGCGTGCGAAAGTCGTCGCTCTCCAAAGCCAGAAAAACGTCTAAAGAGGCCAAACAGATACAGACATATCTCTTTACTGTGCACTGCCTGGAAAATTATGGAGCGGACTTTGTTGACGCGGCTTTCTCCTCTGATTGAAGCCGTCCTCCCTGTGGAACAAGCTGGCTTTCGATCTGGGCGCAGTTGTTGGAGGCAATTGTTTTCGCTTATCAGCTTACCTGCTTCACTGAGGCAGGATTCCAGCGTAAGCCAAAAAGGGGGGTAGTTTTGATGGATTATGGTATGATCTGACGTGACGGTTTCATGTGCAAAGTTTCTAGAATAATAAGTGCTAAAAGACCCTTCGCCTTATCACAGCCATGATTAGCAACTGTCGGTACCGGATCCACATCGACTGGCGGGCCACGAAGGAAATGTCCATTAACAACGGACTCCCACAAGGTGCAATACTTTCACTATCGCTGTTTAGCATCTATACCCGCAACCTCCTACCAACAGCGTTTAACAAGTTTGTTTATACCAATGATATCGCGCTAGCTACAGAATCTGCCGACGTGCACAAGCTAAGCCTGCATGCTAACGGCTGACCTCCTGTTGTGATGCAAATTTTCACCAAACCCGACGAAGAATAGCATGACGGTCTTCCCTCTGCACAGTCAATTGGTCAAGGAGTACTCATAGTTGAGTTCTATGGTTACTGTTGTCAACGTCTATCTGTGGGTTACTCCTCGTCTGACCTCGCGTTTAAGTTATATCTGTAAAAAACTCAGCACAGGGTTAAAACGAAAATCAGTCCGTTATGAAAACATGCTGGCACTTTCTGGGAAGCAGGTGCGCCAGTGTGCTGCGTACTGTGGCCTTGGTTCTCGTGTATTTTATCACAGAGTAGTTTCCCTGTTTTGTGGTACAACTGCCAGATAAACAAGTTTAAATGCATAGCTCGATGAAGAAACGTGAATAATAACGGGGACTCTGAAGCTAACCCAAACACAGTGGTTATTGATTCTGGCGCAAGTTCGACCCCCTCATCTCATGAAGTTCGAACAGGCGTCTCATTTAATAGAAATCGCTAAAAATAAAAATCATCCATGGTGTCCTACAGCACTATGCCTGAAACCACGCCACCCATCGTAGGAACGAGC